TAATAGAAGAGTCAACGACAATGTGCCACTGCTGGGGCTCACCTTAATGAGAAAGACAGTGGGGCATCAGTTAATTCACCACACTGGGCCGGTGTGTGTCGGCGGAATTTACATAATTATTTAATTAGGTTTTTTCATAGTTAGATCCATTCAAACATGCAGGTTTCCTCACAATGTTTTTTATTTTCACCGAATTAGCAAAAAGGCAATCATGTCAAAAATGATTCACACATTAAAATCTCAGTAACAGGTTCTGATTTGAACCCGCTTTCAAAAACATTAGGGAAACAAACAATAAAAATGAATCGCTGAATGTGTTGGTAAGCGCAAATCTCGAGAGCAGCTGAACCGATTTCGCTAATTCTTTTTTTAGAATATTCCTTGAAGTACGAGGATGGTTCTTACGGAGAAAAAAATTTAAAAGATTGCCTGAAAAAGTCTAAAAACAACACTTTTCTATACTCCCATACAAAAGATTTGTAATAATACTTAAAAGTCAATTTGAACTTTAATACCATTACATAAAGTTTAAGTGTTAGTGGAGAGGCAAAACATTGATGGCAATTGAGTGACGTTAGAATCGTATAAATATTAATGTCAATATATGTTAATATTAACAAAAAAATATATATATGGCTAACGCTGACTAATAACTATTTATAATTCCAATATAATATTCGACTTTTGCTTTGACTGACCTGTTCTCAGTTAACTAGGTTTTACTTTACCTGTTTTATCGTTCAATTATAAAAATCCAAGAAAAATGTGTTTATGGTTATTATTGTTGCCTAATCAGCGTTCCACCATAGACTACGATTTAATTTCTTAGTAGTCCTAAACAATACGGAAAAGATTATATAAATATAAAAAAATATAAATATCTTGGGGCATTCACATTTCACACTAGGCTTGTGTTATGGATACTAGATAGTTGATACACTACACATATATAACTTTAAATACATACATATTATAAATATAAATACCCATATCTAGAGTACAAATATTCGTGCTCATCATAGAAATGAATGCCCCCAGCGCGACTCGAACCCGCGACCACTGGCACAGCTAGTAGGGTCGCTACAAACTGAGCCAAACATGTCGTCAATTAATTGAATTAAATCACTTCTTAGATAAAGGTCAATTTAGTACGTAAATTATTGAACATACTACATTTTCATATGTAATAAACACAGCTGTAGATAATTTTTTTATCGATTGTGCTATACTTTATATGTGTTGCCTGATTGTTATAAAATAAACCGATACACGAATTGAACGAATACATAATTTATTTCTACGTACGAGTATATTCGTCACTTATTCGCTTTCAATCCTTTAAGTATGGTAAAGCAAAAGAATGTAAATTTCAGTTCCATTTGCATGAATTTTCCAAATGTGGACTGCCTCCAGTGAGCCATGAAACAAAACCAGTTGCTTGGGAAATCAATTGAAGCGGATCCAAATCCAGAGTCTCGCACGTTTGATATTTTCATGTGCGAATTATTTTCAACATGATTACCAATTTGTCTTTAACGATAAAGAAAAATATCGAAAGGTTACTTATGTTGAACAGACACTTAAGCAAACCTTATATTGAAGGGCAGAAGGTGCCCAAAAATAGAACGTTTAAAAAAAGGCTGAACGCAAAATCTCCAAAACATTTTTTCTTTTGATAGCTAGGTGCAGTAAGCGTGTTGTAATATTATAAAAATATTAAGTAGCCGTTTTTAAATTAAACATTTCAAAGATTCCCCAATCTATTGTAAGTGATGTTATTCGCGCTTCCAAACTTTGGTAAGTAATATTTTACAACTACGAAGTCACTTAACACTTTCTTTACTCTCTTTTTATAGATTTACAAGAATATTTGACATCCATACTAATATTATAAATATGAAAGTTTGTTTGTTTGTTTGTCTTTCTTTCACATCGAAACGGAGTGACCGTACTTTTTACCGCGGAAGTTTATCTCATACCCACGGGAAAGCAGAATACGTAAGAGTATAATAAAAACAATTAAATAAATACGTGTCTTGGCAATTTTCTAAATTCATCCCATAAGAGTGTAAAATAGGGGATGAAATTTGTATGAAACCTTCCTTTTTAGAGTTTTAATTGTAGTTTTAGCGCAAGCGAAGCCGCGGGTTCTGCTAGTTTTAAATAAAACTATCTTTTCATAAAAAGTTATCGTGAAAAGGGAGTGAAAGTTTGTCCATGCAAACTTTCCCCCCATGGGAATCAATCATTACTCGAGTAAAGGATATAAATACTAACATATAGTCTATCTATTCCATACTTAACCGTTATATTAGTATTTTTTATACTTAATCTCATAGATATTAAAAAGCACCTGTGTGCAAACATTAGTACATATTCCGGTGTAGAGAAAATCTGACAAGACAAAAGAGACCAGGAGCAACCGACTTTAAGTCCCCTCTGTAATACGAAAGCTCTCAAATACAAAACCCTAAAATAACAATTCTCCTTACCCTAGATTCGAACTAAGCACCTCATGATCTGTAGCCATCGACGCAATCACTGCTCCGTACAAAGGTTTAGTACCAGATCCTGGTATTCAAATACTGTTGACTATCTAGATTTTCTAGCGTACATTTTTATAATAAAAATTGTTGGAAAAGATATTGATAGATTGTTGAGAAGCGTTTGTTGTATGTTATTTAAATCTTAATATGAATATTTCTAGATGCTTGAGTATCTTTATACGATACAAGTGTGTCCCTAGGTACATACACCTAGCATTGCTATAGTTTAAGAGGAAGATTTTTTAAGAGGAATAATTCTGTAGTACATTGTCTATACATATAATAAAATTGTAACTAAGCCGAATCTGTACATAAGATATTTTTTGGAAAATCTTATTGAAATAAAGATTACGAGTATTATCGATACAGAGGCGAATCTATAGTTTTTAGAATTTTTGTCTGTCTGTTACCGCATCACAGAAAAACCACTGGAGGGATTATAATGAAATTGGCTATGATGTTAGCTGGTTATTCGAGTCAACATATAAGATACTTTTTACAGCGGGAAAATATCTCATTTCTGAGAAAAAATACAAAATCTTCAATGTAAGGGTAATACTATATCTATATAAAACCTAAGAATTTGGTTTTTGGTCATCTGAACGCAGGCGGAGCCGCGGGCAATGCTAGTTTTCATATAAATTTATTACTTTACGCGGCGTACGCCAATAAAGCAGCCAAAAAAGTCGGCATGATTTTTTCCGACATCTTCAACAATCATCGTCATAATTCGTTAGCTCACTATTACAAGGTTCTATGTTAATTTTAATGAAGTTTAGTAATTTTTACATAGAACTTCGTTATTTTGTTATCGTAAAAAAAACAACATAGAACTATGTAAAATTGAATATTTTGTAGTTATAGTGCCGCTATCTAGTGGTCTGTTTTTGCAAAACTGTAGCTAATGACACATAAAACCTTGTCGCGTTAATAACAAAATAAGTACTAAAATTGTAACATAGAACCTTGTAATTGTGAGCCAACGAATTCCGTCAGTCAATTTAATCAACACCTTAATGAATTATACGCCTAAGCATTCCTCGTGAAATACTCCATGTATTGGTGAAAACTGTATTTTCAACCGACTTCAAAAAGGAGGAGGTTCTCAATTCGACTGTATTTTTTTTTGTTTTTTTTTTTTTATGTTTGTTACCTCAGAACTTCATCATTTATTAACCGATTTTGACAATTTTTGTTTTGTTTGAAAGTGTATACTTCCAGATTGGTCCCATTTAAATTTCAATAAAACATACCACTCCTAAGGGTGGAAAAATAGCTAATGATGAATTTAACCTACTTCTAATTGTCATATTGACTTGAAACTTTGCAAGTGTTTCCATTTCCGTTGATAGTATAGTGGTTCGGTATTGTTGACCTGATCTGATGGTAAGGCCAGAAGGTGGATAGGTGGAACTCTTCAAAGGCTAATAGTAGAAACTTGAGATTGGGCTTATTTTGTTTGATTTGACAAGCCTAACACGTTAGAATTCTTACTTTGCTAAACTGTTTACACTAAAAAGGGAAAAAAAAACTTTTTAACAAAAAAATAAAAACCAACTTCAAACAAAAGCACTAAAAAGTTTGCTTTGTATGGGCTGGCACCGATTTCGAAAATAGTTGATTAGGTATGTATTTAATAGGTAGGCTTTAATTACTTGTCCAAAGCACACCGACTTCGAAAATATTTGATTAGGTATGTATAGTAAATGAAAACTACCAATCAGTTATTTTTTACTTTTTAGTGCTTTTGTTTGAAGTCGGTTTTTATTTTTTTGTTATTGTTCGTTAGTTTTTAAGTTTAACACGACGGGGGACTTTTTTATAATATGTGGTGATGAACTTCTATTTCACCATCTAAAAATAAATTTAAATTTTGTTTTAATTTTTTTTTATTAGAACATGTTATCCCGCAAAACAAAGAATTCCCAAGAGAATCGAGACAGTGGATACACTCGTTTATACTCGTGAGATACATATAATGTTTATTTCATTTCTATAGTATGATAAAACTGTATGAAGTATTAATAAAAAATAATATTTTAATAGCTTGTCATAAAAGAATATTTTCATTTGGCAAAGTCGATTTATCTGGATCATATTAGTTTTGTAAAAGAAAATAATTCAGATATCATTAAATCAAGTGCTCTGGCCTGGCGTTGGCCACCAAATACAAAGACTCCGCGCTATCTTTCTCATGTAATCCGTCTTAGACTACGCTTGACTAAACACGGTCTTCACTTTTGCACTTGATATTGCGTCTGCAGATATGACATACTTTGCAGCAGAATAAATCTATATAAAACCTCTATCAGGTTAAAGCTTTTTATACTAATAAAAGAGATTTAAAAAAAAATATTAGGCGTGAACGTCAAGTTATTTTCACATAATAACGAACACCTATTGAACTCATTTAGTACAATTTTATACAATGGCAAAACAAGGTAAAGTACTTACGCTTCAGAAATGAGAGCGCGTAGCTTGCAGAACACTACCCCAAGGCTGTAAGGATATTGGTGCCAGTACACTGATAGATCGTTTGGGAGACCTGAAAATAAAAACATACATTAATCTTTCACATCCAAATAATATGTATATACATATAATAAAATTATACCCCTTACGTAGTATTTCAGATAACCAGCTATGATCATACTTATCAAAATCTGTCCAGTGATTTTCTTTTGATGCGTTCCCAGACAGACAGACAAACAGTTACACAGATGGACATAAATTGTAAAAACTATAGATTTGGCCTATGTATCGATAATAATATCTATTTCAATAAGTTTTTCCAAAAAATATTTTAGGTACAGATTCGATTCAGATAGTATTTTATTATATGTATAGACGTAATAGTTACAGTTATGTATATAACATTTTATAGTGAGTGGTTTTATGAAGATAGTCGAAGGCTTCCAGAGTAACAAAGGTATGTTCCTGTTTACCTATAACCATGAACGAATTAGAGACTGGACCTGACATAAAATACAAATGTATGAAAACTAGTTCAACCAAGTGACGCATAACGCACACAAAGATTTTATTACATTATTATAAACACTGATACACAATACAATATTTCTAGTGCTTGAACGTAATCGATAAAATACATATATCGATGAACCAATGAATGACATTTTAGACATTGGTTAGCATAGTCATCATATTTTACATCTTTTAATTTATTCTTCTTCTTTTAATTTTAATAAATTACAATAAATGAATTAAAGAGGCAATTATAATGTGTCAAATAATTTAATTTGATTTATATAAATACAAATCAATACAATACAAAGGCCGAATCTATAGTTTTTAGAATTTTTGTCTGTGAGGGATCGCATCACGAGAAAACCACTTCATGACAGATTTCGATAAAATTTAGTATGATGATAGATGGTTATCTAGGTTAACATATAGGATACTTTTTACTGCGGGAAAATATCTCAATTCTGAGAAATATATACTAGACGTTAACAAGGGACGAACCGGAGCGAAGCGAGGGTACGTCGTTAGTTTAGACTATATTTTAAATCCAAGCTACGATATACGTACATACGTTATAAAATATTCTATTAGCCATACAATTTCATTTCTATAGATCAATATTTTCATTTCAAATAAACTCAATTGGTTTCACAAACACTCTTTATTTACTTTTCTTTAGATCTAAGGTGCTGCCAATGAGATTGCTACTTTCAATAAACGCAAAATGCGGCATTCAAGGGGATTAAAGCTTTTCACAATCTTAAATTACGATCTTTGTAGCGCAATGGTAGCCGTCAGACATTACTTATTGGGTCCTATCTGATCGCCTATTCGATTTATATAGAAAGTAGCGATTTATTCTCGCTTCACTCAGATGTGTCCCTAGGTATGCGGATTTTGTTCGCAATTTCACGATCTTAATTTTTTGCATGGAACCCTAATCCTTTTTCTTAAAAAAAATAGCCTAAGTTACTCCTTATAACATCAGCTATCTGCTAGTTAAAGTCTCGCCAAAATTGGTTCAGCTGTTTCGGAGATTAGCCGGAACAAAGAGATAGAGAGATATATTTTTACATGTATTTAGTAAAAGGCTGTTATTTTGACTTTACAATCAGACACTTCAATTTTATTTATCTGTGTAGATTTGCTATAAAAACATCTTCGAAAATAATTTCTATACCAAATATTAATATTATAAATATGAAAGTATGTGAGTATATATGGATTTTCGATGCACAGAGATAGATTATAGTCTAGATAACACATAAGCTACTTTTTATCCCGAAAAATGTACGGTTTCCGTGGGATAGATTTGTTTTTGTTTTTCCAGAAGCAAAAACGCTAGTATTTAAATAAACCATTTTTATAATTAGGATAAATTCTTTTGATTTAAAATATAAAATGCATGCTGTAACTGCATTAATGTTAAAACTTTCCGTGTTTGCGGTCCGCTGTTTAAATAAAAATTTTCGCTTTTTAAATAAAGAAAATGTTGAAAAGGGGTTGAAAATGGTATAAAAATCTAATCTAAATGCGCTGACACGACAATGTCTCCCTACTAAGAATTGAAATTCAGACACAACACGCACTACAATTGATATTTTTGTCAGACGAAGACGTTTACTTTTCAGACTCCGTACCTGAATGATCGATATATACTCGTAGTTAGATGGATGGTAGTAGTAGGCTGGATCCACACATCCAACCATCTAAGCTTTCACATTTATAATATTAGTAACATTAGAACCTTATATTGAGCACTTGGGTTCGGATGACGTGACATAGCACACGTTATGATACTCGTGAGATTGTATTTTCTCATGTTAACACCAACCAGTAATCCATAATGCAAAGTTGCTTATGAAGTCGTCTGCAGGCAAACGTTGTACATACGATACGACACAATATATATATATATATATATAATCTGAATCTCGGAAACAGCTCCAACGATTTTCATGAAATTTAGTATGTAGGAGGTTTCGGGGGCGATAAATCGATCTAGATTAGTCTTATGTCTGAGAAAACGCGTGTTTTCGAGTTTTCATACAGTTTTCTTTTGCATTATTCCACGCAAAATATGGTCGGTAATTTGCACGCTTAGGCGTATGCATCGTGGTGAAGCGGCCAAGGTGCAAGATTAACAATAACAGGAGTCCAGGTTCAAATCTCGGTCGCATACAAAGTTTTTACTTTTGTATGCGATTGTTGTTATGTTTTTAATATATTTAATTTATCCAAGTTTTTAGTATAAAAACAAAAAAGAAAATTGTACTTTAGGCCAAATACTCCGAGCGAACCTCGGTAGCTCAGGTACTTTTTATATATATGACGTGAGACAAAATGTAAACAAACCGTATATGGTTCTTTTAGATATCACATTCGTTAATAACAATATTGATTACTAGTGGACTCACCCTCGCTTCGATTCGATACGTCCCTGTTTATAAACAATATTTTCATATACAGGCAACGATTTGGCAAACACATGACGGTCAAGGTAGTGCATTTGATTCTAACCTGATTTGAAAATATTAAGATTTAAAACTGAAAACTTTTTAAATCAAGATAAAATAAAGCGTATATCAGTCAGCGATAGCGTAGGTTTCTATTAGTGAAAGAATTTTTGGAATCGGTTCAGTAGTTCCAGAGATTACCCCCTAATACAGACAAAGTTTACATCTTTATTATATTAGTATAGATAAATAGATTTCAAAATTACAATTTCCAAATGGATGCAACTATCTACATTATTTTCAAGCCCCTGAAGGTAAATTAACATAGACTGGCAGACTGTTTTTTTTTCATTTATTTATATAAATACAAAATTTTGTTTATAAAACAACTAAAAGTGATATCCATAATGACTAAACAATTTTCGAATTTTCAAGAAATAGAAAATGTGCTGAAATGTGCCCAGTGTGTGCTATTACGCGCTACTTAAAAAAATATAAAAAATATAATTTTTATGAGTACACACTGAGTACTAAAAGTGTAATGAACATCAAAGTTGGAACGCATTTTAATACTACCAAATTAAAATGGTGCAGCTCAATACTAGTAGAAGCTTTTGTGAACTGTGAATTTTTCATCAGTCAGCAACTTTCCAGTGTGCGCCAACAATAAAGTAAACATGAGTATTAAGAAATAAGTATTAGTAGAAATTCAACCATATTAATTATTAAAAATTTGACGAAAACATATATGAATAGAATTTACGTATCTGTTTAAAAAAAATAACTGTCCCCAATATTTTTTATTGATAACTAGACCTCGTCAATAGCTACTCGTACTACACAAAAAAAAATAGGTTGACAAACAGAAGAGAAGAAGGTTCTGAATAGCTTTATCTTTGCCTATTAATATATTATAGAGATGTTAGATAAAACCTTATTCTTATGTCAATCTCTGAATTCTTGACCAATGAAAATAAAATAATTAATTAATATTGAATACAACTCTATGTTATTTATTGATTTATTAAAATGATTGAATTTTAAAAATTCCATTTCAAAAATATTTTAAAATAATCGATATTCGTAGCTAGTTATTTTGATTTTTCAATAACGAATAATCTTGGAACATTAATGGATATCACGATTTTCATCGCGCAAACTGAAATCGTATGCATTCGCACGACTTTGTGACGATCACTCTTATATGGCGTATAAAGAAAATACACGAGGAAACAGCCCACCTTCGCAATCCTGCCCTCAGGCTCGTACTTTTGAGTATTTTATTGTATATATATCGCCTACCTATTAATGTATTTCATCAATATTGTTTGAAGCCTTGAGGCAATTATACGTAGTTAACAAACTCATGTAAGTGAAAACTTACTTCGGTTTTTGTGATATCAATTAGAATAAAGGTGAGATGGAATTAATACAAAAATAGTGTTTATTTTTATTAGGTTAAAACAACTTTTCCGAAGTTCAAAATTATTTATCATAGTGGTCATGTAGCCATAATCTGCTTACACCATAAAGTAAAATTCAGTTTTTTTTTTTGAAGGAAAAGAGCAAACAAGCGAGCGCTACACTCGATGGTAATACTCGTAGTTACCGTCGCTCTTTGCATACACACAATTTGTCACATGTCTTATATTGAGACGGATGAGGTGTTGCAAATGGGTTGCCAGGCCAGCAACCCATTTGAAGAGCCTCATTTTATAGATAGAATCTGCATAACATGTATAAGCTGAATCTTCCATATTTTATATCATTTATTAGTAAAATATTATTATCTGAAATCAATTTCATTTATTATCAAAATGAAATGCTAACAAAGTTAAAATCAATTGCCATCTCATTGCTGGCAAGACTTGACCGTCTATTCTAAATAAACATATTTATTTACAGCAGATTTTATAAGCTTCCGACAGCATTTGTCTGGAGCTTATAAATATATATCTACCTAATACTCCCTGTATATCGAATCAGTTTTTATTATTTTATTTAAATAGTCAGAGAAACGCCTCGAACAAAATGAGGAAGACGAGTGATTTTTGAGGACGATTGGCGTGAAAATTCATGAAACAAAAAAAACAAAACTTTTCCC